AGTAGTGCAACTGATACCTTATTTTTAGAACTGACACAGCCAAATATACCCAATTTAGAAGCAGAACATTCATTTCACAAATACTGTAAAGCTGATAATAGCCTGAGCATGCAAACAAGCCGTTAGACAATGATACAGGAGTAAAAAATCCAAGTGATACATGCATTTTAACTTTTCCTTCTCTCTGAGCTTTTTATGTCCCTTTGTTTCTTGCCAGCCAACTCCCTGCATCCCCTGCCATGTGTCAACTGGAGAGCTGATCAATAAGTAAACTGCACAAAAACCCTCGCTCTGTCTCAACCAGACCAAGCCCTGATATGTTGTTGAGTCAGTGCAGTGGATGTGCAATCAATCTTACTGTGTCTGCTGTGCCCATGGGTTAATAGCACACTGTGAGGGTTTGTTCTTTCTTCTCATCAAAACCTCAACAGATCAAACGTCTGAGGTCCAGAGCAGAAAAGTGCTGGGAGCAATCCACTGAGCAACATTAGCAAACACGCAGTTACAGAGACGAGTCTGAAACTGCACTAAAGAATGAGTTCTGGGTCCAGTTCAACAGGAGATCGTGTATACATGTCATCCCTTTAGGTTCATCTGTTTTATAGATTCCACAGATAATATCCATCATCGTCAGCATACAGTGCCAATCCTGCTGACCTACATGGAGCTCTACTCTCTACCTCAGGTACATACAATGAATAAATGATTACATCCTAAATAGAAAAAACTTTTTTTCTTTCTTTCTTTTTTCTTACTCCCCTAGTGGATTTACCAGAGCTTTTTTTTGCTAAAGTTGCTAAAACAATCAGCTGGAAAATGCCAAAATGCTCCGTAGAGCTGAGGGGAACTGCAGACTGCACCTTTTACCTTATACGTAGTCATTTCAGTGTTAATGTAATAGACAAATATTGATTAGAGCAGCTTTAATCTCAAGCATCATAATTATTCAGACTGTGACTGTAAGTTTAGACTGGCAGCCTCTTCGCTGACGCTGAAATGTCCTGGTTTGATTTATGGCCCACAGCAGGAGCAGGTTCACTTAGTTTCACTTTGAAAGTAATGTATTGCTCTATTGCAGTTGCAATGTCTCATAGCACACGCTGCCTCAAATGGTCCGAAGACATATTGGCTATTATCGCCTTATATCCTGTTTCTCGCTCTCCAAAACAAACAGAGCCATGCCGAGGAGGAGGAGGAGGAGGAGGGGAGAGAAGCTGAGCAATCCTTGACAGGAAGCATCAGGGTTCATGGAGGACACAGCCTTAATGTTTCGAGAAAACCGTGTACTGTTTGTATTTCTGTCAGTCTAAACAACATATGCGATCCACCACTAAGACACTCACATAATTCTCATTGGATTTAGCTAACTGGTTGACAAAGGCACCAGAGGACAAATGACCCGGCAGGCATTTCAGTAAGATTTTGAAAGATACTGTCAAAATGTCAGCACGGAGAGCTTCTCTGCTGCTGTCATTTCCACACATAATATTTCCACAGCTAAACACCTCCTGGGCTGCCTACTCTGTACTTGGCACCAGCTCAGGACTCGACAAGACTTCATCATACACACCACACACACTGAGAAAACCAAGCAAAGTGAGTTGGGGCTGCCTTCGATCGGCTGGCTAGAAACCCAGGCTTAACCAGGATATGTGAAATCCATTTGGGCCTGCGGTCGATCTGTCTACAGCTTGTCACAGGAGCTGATGCATGGAGCTCCGCACTGTTGATATACTAACATGTGTACAAGAAAATCCAGATTTCTGTGAAATCCTCCATCTTTCAAAACAAATTAGGTTCAGCAGTTTAGCAGTTCAATTTTGAACTTTTTAAAAGCTGGATTTTGGTTTATATTGCAGTCACTCGATTGACAAAAAAAAGCTTTCATGTACGCAAGCTTAGTTAAGTCACTCAGTGATCTTTTCCCAGACAGCCTGCTGTGTATATCCAATTAAGAAGCTTAAGAAGCTCTGATATATTTGGTATTTAAAGCAGCATGCATTAATAATGGTAAGTTTTAAGCTGATGATTCCGACGACGCACAGTCTGAATTAGCAAAACAAACAATCACACAACCGAATGTCATTGATCACATTACTAAAGGAAATAGCTGCTAAAACAGAAACCTTGAGGCATCAAGCAAGCTAGAATTTGTGGGTCACGCTTGAGGCGGTTGCCTCATGTCACAGACATCCTTTAAACCTAATGCAATGCTTGCAATGCTTTTACTTTCCATCACATTTCCTTCTTTTATCTCCCAATCATGTATGTAAAACATTTGCTTTAGAGCTGAAATGATGAACTGATATTGACAGAAAAATTATTAGCAGCAATTCCAAGCAAATATGTCAAATATTCTGCTGTTCCAGCTTCCCACATGTGAGACGTTTCTGTTTGTCTTTGTCATATTTCATTGTCACAAGCAAGACATCCACGCTGGGCGTCTCTGAAAATTATGTTATCATTTGTTTTTTACACAAGTCCGTTATTCAGATTAATCGTAATGAAAATACAGTTGTCAGCGGCGTACTGCAGAGTAACATCAGCAGTTGTATTGAGATGCATGTAAACTCTAAATGTTACAAGGTGCACTCTAAATAATAGCACCTGTCAAACAACATAATTACTAGTAAACGCTGATCCACGCAGCCACAACAAAACATCATAACATCAAAATGAATGATTTGCTCTAAAATGTCTGGCAGAAACAAAGTGTTCCTGTGACACCTCATGATGTTCATCCAACCTAACGTCACAAGTACAGACAGAAACACAGCCTCCCACTGGTGTTGGTGGCCCGGCCTCTGGGTGCTGCAGGTGTCAGTCAGCCCCACAGCTGCTGCATAAATCTCGGTGAAATATCGCTGACTGGGGCCTCTATATTCATGGCCTTTCAGGAAACGCCACTGTGCTGACTAATGTGGCGGGAAGTTGAGGTCAGTGGGCGGGGTAGAACGAGCATCTAACTCAGGCGAGGTGTGGCTGTGTGATCAACTGGAGGAGGTTTGATGGTAGTGAGACTGCCACAGATGAGGCAGGGTGAGATGAAGCCATGCAGGGCTGCCTCTCGTAGCATTTGTTGTCGTTTATTAAAAGTGAAATCCTGATCCAGAATTTGTGGTTATGAGATGCTCCTTTTCAGCTATTTCTTCATGTGCTCTTCTTTAACATGCAGAAAAAAAGACTCAGTCTTGGGGGAAATAATTCATTGTGTAAAGATAGGTAAAAAGACAGCAGCTCCCGTCAATGGTAAAATGTTTACATGCAAAACTGACCACTGAAGTCCTGGATCACTTGATAAAAAAGTGTGATGTTAGTATTCGCTATGGTTTATACCAAAGAAACCAAACTCTAGGTGTGACTGGCATTCAGTTTAAATTTGTTTTCACTTGATGCCTTCGTCATAGGTTGTATCCACAGTGTTTAGTCTCTGGTACTTCCTATAACTGCACCGACGGCACTTGTGGCCTACATGCTGCGGTTCGCTTGCGTATTGCCTAGTTTACAGCAGGCACTGGATAGTTCACAGCACTGTGCTGGTTTCTAGAGGTGAACCCTGCTGTCCTGTATTCCTCCTGCCCTATTATTCTTCCTCTTCCTCCAAAGACATCTAAAGTTTTACAGGTTGGGGGCGTTCAAATGCATACCATGTACTGTGATTAAAACATCCCCCCGTTCGATTCCGGCTAGGAAACTTTGTTGTATGTCATCTCTCTCTCCCACTCACCTTTTGTCACCTCTCTACTGCCCACTCATAAGTAAAGCTAGAAAACACACACACAAAAAACAACCGGACCAGACTGTGGGTCTATGAAACGATATATAATAATAACTCCATTATGAAAAAATGTATTAAATCTTTCAGCGTGACTTTAACATTTTAAAACCCTGTCATCTAATCACACCATGTACAACAGACCAATTAAAGCACTGACACTGATTTATTTTGGGAAACATCCCGAAGACATCAGCATATAAAAATGACGCCTATATTCTCATATCTAACCGCATTTCTGTGTTTTATCCTGGTCACCATCAATTATCTCGTGTGCGTTATTTCATACAAAGCGATTCAAAATATACTTTAGGCATAAGTGGATGATATTTTTCATTCTGACTGAAAAGGAAAAAAGATTACCACTCTCTATTATTACAAAGCAGGTCATTTATCATTGAGCTTAGTGATGGCCTATTTCCAGTTACATTTAAAGGGCAGTATGTATTCCACCGCTGCAAGCATTATGATATTCAAACAGATAAAATAAGCAGAAAAGCTGCTTAAAAGCTGCAAAGTTACATAAGCAGAGACAGGTGAAGAGTAAAAGCACATATCTGCTCAGTGTGCAGCCCACAAACACACAGCTCAACCACAACATCATACAGCAAAGTATTTATTACACAGTAACTCAACCGCATGTTAAACTTAATGTTTTAGATATCCCAAAGCCGGACCAGAGCTTTCCAAAGCACACTGTCCTGGTCTAAAAGTTGGCACGGTTTCACAGTGTGCCCTAACAACAGCACCCACTGAATGAGAGGTTTGCTCCCTTTAACCCAAGTTGTAAAGTACCGACATGCGGCGGAGGCTACAAAACGGCCAGCCGGCTTTATCAACGATAACCAAACCACAGCCAGAGTTACATCAAATCCACAGCAGAATAAGCAGCCAGCGAGCAGACACATGACACCGCCTCGGTTACTCTCCGTTCAAATAAACGGTATGCAGCAGTTCTCAAAGCGGAGCTGTTCCTTCAGCACCGCCGTTACAGACACACCGAGCGACCGCCGCTTCAACACTCCTCCCCGGCTCTTCTACTCTCACACACACCGATGGAAAATCACCGCTTTTTTAAAAATAACTTTCACTGATTCCAGCCACAGCGAGCACCACGCTCCTGGAACCATTTGCACTTGTTGGTTGAAAGAATTCAGCTGTGACATGTATTATTACCAGTGGAAGTTAATTACGAGGGAAGGAGAGACGTTATTGGCCTACTTACCATCAATCGCCATGATGTTCTGTTTTGGCTTCCACCAAAGCGGGCGGTGAAGAAGGGGGAGCGGCCCACTGCAAGAGTGAGGGGCGGGGGGAGATTCGTGGTGTGGTACAGTCCATAAAACACCGGGCAGGAATCGAAGTGTCGGAAACAAGCGATGTGCGGATATCTAATCCATAATTTACAGCTAGGAGAAAATATTACATAGCCTGAGCCATTGACAGTAACATAACTTACACTTTTCATAACTCAGTAAAGGTCTATTAACATTTAATACAGCAATAGTTTAACCACCCCAGGTTCCTTTAATTCTACTAAAATAGGTTAAAAACTTTATTACATCTGTGTCAGTACTTAGTAACAGCATCTAGCTAATTTGGTTGTATTAGCAAGATAGCCTATGCAATGTGATATAATGTAGCCAAGTCAACTGGAAAGTTAATTTAATTTAGCTACATTGTTATACTGTATCAAATGTTATTGTAGATGCATTATTTTTATATTTTGTTCATATTTTTATGTTGCAGCACAGCTAATGTTAAATACGGTGTGATTTTGGTCACAATGAAGCAGTGTTGTTAGCCTGTATTCACCACTAGGCTACTTATACAATGCTAATACATCTTAATAAATTAGCTTAGCTGACCTAACTTTTGTGATATCTCCTTAATAGAAGACATTTTCCTTTAATTAACTTCTTCTGTATTAATATACATTATCCTAATAATTTAAGTCTGTTTAGTGAACCTGAAAATTAATTACATTTAACATACAACTACATCATTAAGCTGAATTAGATGCTAATACAGCATTAAATGCTAATCCAGCTCAATAATGATGCTAACCAAAAAAATACATAGTTCAGCCAACAACAAAAAAAATAATTTATAAGTAGGCTATGCTACAATATTAAGCCATATTAGAAGATAATGCTCCTTATGCTAATGTCTTTATGTCTCTTAATGGCCTAGCAAATCTTTGTGAGTTAGTATTAAGAAGTAGAAGCATTATTTTATGGCATATTTTACTATGTACTTGAGGCAATATCAGCTCTCTTTAGCTGTGGTTCTGTCCTACTTCATGTGACTCAGTGCTGCTAGTTCACCCACTACCTGCAGCTGGTAATCAGCCCCCGATTGCTGACGGCTGGAAAAGCAACCAGCAGAGCTGTGATTCCTGAGAACAGACCGGCGCTCTGAAAATCAACAGTAAGTGTTTGTGTCAGCCCCTCAGAAGCAAAGAACAAGAGCCTCTGCCTACACTCGCCCTGCTGGCAGTCATACAGGAAGATTCCATCAGCACAGACTTTATACACACTGTCACTGCCACAGACCTTTTCTGGAGGTAATGAAAAGCATTCTGGGAGAGAGAAGTGCAGCAGAAACACAGATTGTTACACATCAGTACAATGTAACTCCTGCGCATTATGATAAATATGATAATTAGGGATGTGAAAGCATGTGATGGTGATTTGTTTCGCTGTTGTGCGACTCTTAAAGGTCAGGTCTTAAATACAGCACTGGGATTAAATATTCATACAGCAGGCAGCAGGCGTCTTGTTAATGAGAATATCTGTTCCATCCTCGTTATGTTGTTTTCCATAGCTGCTGGGCTTCCCCCTGAAGTTTAGATAAAGTAAAAACATGAAGGAAGAAGTATATTCAAATATAGCTTTTTTATTCTGCATCCAGTTCTACAAGCTGTACACCCCCAGTATCGTACTCCTCGGTGAAAGAAAGCTCAGTGTGACCTCTTTGTAATGGTTTTTACCTTTTCCCTGTCTGCACCTGCCTTTTGCATGAATACTACGACACAAACACAACTCATAACCTGCACGTGTTATCTTGTAATGACTTTATTGCCTTCCGTGCACTGTATTTATCTAAATCGCTCCGTGCTGCTGCAGTCACTGCGTTTCCGGTTGAGGTTCATTAAACCTTCATTCATTTCTATCTAATCAAATTGTAATTAAGCTTATCCTGCTATTGCTATCTTTGTAAGTCAGCAAAATGCTACTGCCTGTTTGTGCTCATCTCTCAGTGTAAATACTGCACAGTCCATTGTGTGTGTATATTGAGTATTTCAGTGCATTCTTTCAGCCCACTGAAAACACGCAGCTGTTCTATTGTGTTAATGTTTATAAAAACCTGTTGTTACAATAGAATTATAAAATCTATTAACTTTCATTTTGAGATTCAAATTACACTCCCATGCCGTCATCAGGTTGCCATGGATACATACAGCAGCTGCTGAGCTCTACCTTGTGATTCCCTGTCAAAAACATGAGCAAATGTTACCCAATTGAGGCATTTGTAACACAAATCTCTGTATCCTCTCTCTGAGAACCAGAATCCTCAACAGAGCTGTGTATTACAGTGTTCGCCTCGCTTTTAAAGTGGGATTTACACAGGAGATCGTATACTTTGAGCAGTTCTTTGTAACATAATCTGGCATGCAGTTTAAGTGGCATTACCTGCATGAAAGCTGTCAAATGCACTCTGCTCACTAGGCAGCATCCTACACAGTGTCCTTACCTTATGAGTGCAGCAAAATGTTGTGTGATATTTCTGCTCTCATCCATCTCATCCCTCATGTCAACATTCGGAGGTGTCGTTTACTTCTAATTTACTCGGAGACTCAAAGAGATCACTAATAATAGATAAATACAACTATTAGGACAACTTCAAGCTTCAAAGGATGTTTTTCCTTGCTGCCGTTGCCAAGAACTGTGGGGTCTCAAAAAACATTGTTGCTTGTAACCCCTTAATATGAAGCAATATCTCCTTGCGACTTCTTGTCATGGGTTGCATGTCTATAAGCTGCTTTATTTCATCATATAAATCATGTTAGTGGTCTGAAAAGGTAAACAGAATTCCATCAGAAAGAAGTAAAGATTAGAGAAAAGTTTGAAAGATAAACATAACTGGGAACCAGCAGTCTGAAACATCACAAGTTTCGAATTGAGAATTTGCTGGAGAATAATTTGAAGTGCAGAAAATGTGTGCAACCGCATGTTTTAGACTAATAGTAAAGTGACTGCCTGCTAGTGAATCTGGTCACAAAATGTATCTGATGATGTACCGTATGTACCAAGATGGCATGATAACTTACAGTCTAAATTACAATGGAAATGAACTGTTTTTACTGTGTTTAATAGACGTTTTGTTATTCTTTTGGCTAAATGTGCCGTTGTGGTGTTGGATATTGTTGGCTTGTGCATTGGCCACTGCTATTAATCCTTCAACTCTTTAGAACATATTTGTATTTTTAGACTGCTATATCTGTAAATGAAATGTCTGTGCGTACTTTTGCAGGCTTGTTTGCCTCGAGTTACTTCCTTGGGGTCGAATAAAGCATTTTGAATTGAACTTATTAAAATAAATTTGTAAATGAGAAGAACAAATTACCAAAATATGTTAGATTGGCTTTAAATGAAAGTTTAGCCCAGCAGCAATCCATACATGAATTATCAATTAGAAACAAATACATGGTCAAAAGCACAGAAATCAGCTAAATAAAGTGTGTATAGTGTCTTTCTCATATCCTGCTGTGGTGAACCGTGTCCAGGTTAGAATAGCTGAAGATGTTATGTAACACCTCATCAAACTAGTGTTTTCCAAGCGTGTATTGATACCCAAAAGAAGTGTGACCGTGACTTTTTAAGGCAATTTAACATCAAACACAGACGGCGTTAACATTTGGAATATGGTATGTTAGCAGCGGAGCGAACACGCTGCTTGAAGATTGTAAAACCTGCACACACACACATGTTCACAGACTTGCACTGTTTCCCTGTCTGTCTCTTCCCCATTCATTCTTGTTTACTTTGTCCTATTTTTAGCTGCAGCTCTTCCCAAATGCCCTCTGCTGGGCTCATCAAAGCAGCTCCTTCCTGTTGTCATAGAAATGGGCCGGCGTGTCCATTAGCTTCTCCGTCCGCAGGCTGCCCGAATCACACTCGCCAAAGGGGGGAGCACAGCTGTGGGTCAGGTAGATTCATCTGGGCAGGTAGATTATTGGGAGAGGACGTAAATAATCCAACTATTATTTAATCATGCAAGGGCAAAAAAGATGATTTCTCATCATGTAAATATCACCAATTAATGCAGGCAATCAGATGACTGCACAGCCATTACAACACCTGCTATCCCCCCTTTAGTTCGTTCACATCAGTTCTCTTCTGAATGGACTGTGAGGCTGTTTTGTGTCACAGTCTGACATGAGGGAGTAGCATCTACGATAGTCGTGTTCACTCCATGTATGACCTTGCTGTGAACACCAACAGTGCTCCTGGGAATCACCCAGGTCAATCAGCCTACCGCTGCTACAGTGCTGCTGGGAAAATTGGTTATTCAGAGGAGCAGGTCTAGCCATGTACGTGTTTTTCAGCCACACATTGTGACTGAACGAGAGGCGTTGCATAACTTGCAATATACTGACTATATCACCTTGTTTACATTAAATGTGTTCACTCCAAACGGTCAAGGGTGTTGATTGCTTAGCAACAAGCATCTGAGACTATGCTTAATGCTTTTAAAAATGTTGTAAATGTCAAATGGAGGCCATCGTGTGCACAGGGTTGTGTAACTAATTTGTCAAACATATATTCATGATGAATGTACAAAGCTTTAGGGACACCTTCTCCTGTGCGCAAGCCACAATGCAAATTCTCCACGTATCGGTCTCTATATCTTTGTTAGTGGAACAGATTTCATATGGGAGACAAGTGAGTGGTAAGAGATTTTAAGCTCTTTAATATTTACAACATTCAGTGTATATACTGTCAGTCTGGAGGTGTGAGGAATACTACTTATTACTCAAGGCAAACAACTCAGAGCAGAATAACTCATTCAACAGAGACTCTGAGGTCAGGAAGTTGTGTCTTTGACTCCATAAACAAGCGAGCTGCTGGTGTGTCCTGCAGAACTGTACAGAAGATCACATCTTGTAAAGGTCTCAGGAGTGAAGGGGAAACAAACACATAATATCTAACTTTACATCCAGGGCTGTCAGCACTGATCATCATAACTGCACTGTGAAGTAGAAGTGATGCAAAGGCGGAAACATTATCCTTAGTTTAGTATTTGACATGAGGAGGAGGAAATGAAATCACACACAGGGATGTCAGATAACACAATTAAGTCCAACAGATATTTCCACTGAGGTCCTATAAAGATTACAGATATACAGAAGTGCAGTCTTTGGATGTAGTTTGTCAAGTGAAGTCAACACTCAAAATTCAACTCAAACCAACTGTCTCATATTCCCTTTATTGATTAAAGCAACAGGCAACTTTCATTTTGTGTTGATTCTGGCGGCCCCTGCGGACAAAAGTGGTAGTGTTTCCACCGCCTTGTTTCATTGATTTCAAGGGGAATCTAACTGAATAACTACATAGAAGTAGAAAATCTTCTTGCCAATGGTCTTTTTTTGTTTATCCAGGTCATTCGTGCTTTTTCTCATATCATAAAATTACACATAAATAAATACTATTATGTTTCAAACATAAACACTATTTAAGTTCCATACTTCACTACTGATGAAGGCCATGTGATGTAACTGAAAGCTGAAACTGAAAGAGAGCTGTTTTCATTCCACTTTCTTATACGCTATACCTTAAAAAGCAATCTTTTGTTTTGATCAATAAATCATCCTGAGGTGCTTTCTAATAGACAATGTAATGCAAGTGATCACAATGTTAACATAAAGTCCATTTTCTGCTTCTGCTCTTTGTGAACTTAATATCTTATGCAACCGTCTGAGAGTTCAGAAGGCAAAGACTATCAACAGGTTATTAAATGCAACACTTTCCACTGGCTTCTCTGACGCAGGCAGGACAGTGAGGAGCTGTTTCCATAGTAATACCTTCCTACACGTAACACAAATTGACTGGACTACTAAATTTATAATAATGACATGAAACAATCCAGCATTAAGAGTGTGAAAGGTTTTCATCTAAAATATATTTCTGCATCGGAAAAACAACCCAAGGCTGCAAATGCATCCACAGAAAGAGAGAGGCAAGACGACTCAAATGCACACATATTTAGGAGCAGTGACTTCAAATTAATATGAAATGTAAGAGCAAAATTAGTTTCAACAAATATATTGTTATGCCTCAGACTGCGACTGCTGAAGTACAGTTAATTTATGATTAAATCACATCAACAAATGTTTGTTGTTTGTTTGAAAACACTTTTTTCCCATAAAGTCTTCTGTCTGGATAGTGAATAGTGAAATGTGGCACCACCCTGTGGGGAAACCTGGTAATTGGTTATAGTGAGCTGAGCATGGTTAAAACATATTCACTCAATTATTTATAACTGAAGAAATTCATTCTGTTTATATATTTCATGTGACTTGAAATTTAAATTGCAATATCAGAAGCACTAATTCATAAATGAATAGCAATTCAAACACATTTGCTTCAAAATTAGATGACATGTCTGTAGCTCTTATTTGAGGAACTGAGCTTTATTCTGAATGAATCCATCCACACATCATTCACTGAACTGTTGCAATCTTTTAGCTCAGCCACACAGAGACACATTTATTGCTATGCACCTCCACACACACACACACACACGGTGTAGCTTATGTCTGCAGTTTGTGTTTGAGGTGTGCCAGTTGCTTCATGTCGACGCTGCTGCCACCGCACACGATCACCAGCAGGGGGCCCAAGAGAGTCGGCAGCTGACCTAAAGCAGAGCAAGTTTCTCCTCATTTGAAGGGAGTTACTATATACAGGAAGTTGCATCATGATCATTAAACATTAAACATTTCTTACAGGCATGGCTGTGGTCTGAAAATATCTTCTGATACACATGCAGACCACGAATTGTGAGTCAGATTACTGAAACGGTGTCATGTATCTCAACACAGTGTCACTGTTGTGTCAACAAACGGAAGAGCTGTTAATGAAGAGGAACCAATACGGATCCAGAAAGTGATTTTATTACAGACAGAAGCATGGCGCTGAATATCTTCTAAGGTGTCAGGGTCGTTACCTTCGTCCTGTAATCTGCGTATAAATCCACTGTAGACCGCTGCGAGTGCTGCTCCACACGCCATCTCCACCAACACACGCTCCTCATCTACAAGCACACACACACACACACACACATTTACACATTTATATCATCATTAATCCAAACAGTGAACACAATTACTGCAGGACGTGTGTGTAAAACGAGTGATTTGGATGAATTTTGAGCCAATTATTTCCTGTTTAGGGAACTTTTTATACTATTCTGTCTGCATTATGTATTTTTATAACAATCAGACAGACTTAATAAGCTTTTTAACAAATTCAGAGTTTTCTTCTGTGTTAGATTAGCTCTTTTGTTGTTTTAACTTTTGTATGTCCTGTAGGACAAGGATGTTAAAGCTCTGTGAATAGGGCTTGTGTTCAGGTCTTTATATCTTAAATAATACTCTGAACTTTAAAAATAACAACTTACATTTACTTTTCTTCACAGAAATGAACCAAATGATATAGGCCTACTGCGTATATTTTTAATGTTTTCTTACATCCCTTAAAATCCAGAAGGCCACATAAAGTTTGTTATAGATGCTGCTGTTCCCAATTAAAATAAAAAAGTAAGGCTGCTTATTCATATATTTATTATAGGAGGGCAGTCATTACCTGTCAGAGGAACATTAAAATGCACTTTCAACACACACACACTAACACACTAACCCAGGAATGTTTCGACCGCCTGCAGAGCCTGCTGGTCAGTCACAAGCTCAGAGATGACCGTAAGCTCGCCGCACTGGCTGTATTCGAAAGCTTTCTTGCAAACTGTCTTCGCTCCGAGACACTTAGCCTCACTGTGGAGAGACAGAGAGGATCAATTCAGCGCCGCCGCATTCATAACCCCAGAACACATCTGAGCTCCTTTAACCTCTAACCTGGTGATGTCATCCAGGGTGACCACCCTCCCCGCCTTAACCGCGGCGTTGAAACAGTCGGCCCCCACCGTCTCCATGGCGATGATGGGTACGTCTGTCCAGCCTACGTCCTTCAGGCCCTGGGCGACCCCGCAGAGGAGCCCCCCTCCGCCGACGGACACCAGCACAGCTCCGGGCTTCGCGCCGGCACCCAGAGAGGCTGCGACCTCCGTGATCATACTGGCGTGGCCCTGCCTGGGTGTGCGTCATGAGGAGGGAGACACAGGGACAGTTTGGAGGAAAGTATTGCAGAATGCCAGTTTTGGGGTTGAAACTGGAAACTTTAATTGTGATGAATGTTTCTACCAGAGCAGAGGGTGATCGAATGGAGGAACAAATGTGAGTCCTTCCGTCTCTGCCAGTCTGAGAGCCTCTGCATTGGCATCATCCCAGACCTAATGAGAGGAAGATTTCACTTCATTTCTCTCTAAATCGCTTGTGTTTGCTTTTACTCTAAAGGTTGAAAACAATGACAGAATTGCTGTTTAAATATAATCATATACTATACTACCTTGCCTATAATCTTGACAGTAGCACCCTCATCCTGGAGTCTCTGAACGACCAGCTGAGGAGAAGATGAGGGAACTACGATGGTGGCTGGTACGCCCATCTTTCTGGCTACGTAGGCTGCCGCCATACCTGCATTACCACCTGGAAAAAAAGCCATATGATGTTTTACTGCAGTAATGCTGAGCATATTAACATGCTGTGTCCCAGTAGAAATCACCTGAAGCGCAGACAACTCCTTTGGACTGTGTGGCGAGCTGCAGAAGAGAAAAACGAAATGAAAAAAGGACAATTTTGTTTCTTTTTTTTTTACGCCACAATCAGGTAACACTGGCCTTCGATCTAAATGACAGAGAGTCAGTGTGTGATTTGCTTTTCAATTATTTTTGCTTTTTCAAACTCCTGCAGAGGATTGAGGGTGCCTACCTGCTGGCAGAGGTGTCCAATGCCACGGATCTTGAAGGAACCGGAGGGCTGTGAATTCTCCATCTTTAGGTACACGGTGGTTCCCACACGTTTGGACATGTTGACGCTCTCCAGCAGCGGGGTGTTTAGGTGGAAATGCTCTGCCATGGTGCGCCTGATTTCACTGAAATGGTGTTAGATGAGAAGAACGTTGAGAATGATGACGGCTGAGCAAACGGCAGGCTGAAACGCTGTTGAAAGCTCCAGAAAAAGCTACTGAGTGGACCTCGAGTTGAGATTTTTTGGCCAAAGTTTCCAAATATAGTATGAAAGTGCAGTAAAGCTATCTTTCAAGAGAAGATTATTATATTAATAGGCACCACACTAAACCTTCTTGCCCTATTGTGGGCCATGCATGGCCAGTGCTGCCTTCAAGTGCAGCTGGAATGTGCACATTAACATGGAAAAGCATATTGGCTGGTGGCTGGTGCTAATGTCAACACATTTTGTAGATTATGGAAGCTGTAGTGAGCTTATGTAGAGCTGGGTAATTGTTCAGTATTGTTTTTATCATTGTTTGTTGCTGTTCAATAGAACTATTAGTCTATTTTCTTAATTAAATGCCAAAAAACAATATAAACCCCTCACAGAAGGAGATTTAAAATCAGTATTTGGAGCGCGTTTCAGACTGTGCTGTGTGTGTGTGTGTGTGTGTGTGCATTATGTAACAGCTCAAACTGAGAGCTGAGGAAATGAGAGACAATGATTGAACACTATGGTGTCGGACTGGCAGCAAACACATCTCAACCCTAACCAATGATGAACAGTGACCGTGACGCAGCTAACCCTTATGGCTACACAACGTTACGTGACGTCCAATAAGTTACAATGTAAGCCAATTTAATGACGTGCGTTAACGTATGCTGTACGTCATAAGTCAACAACGTGGTGTGAGGTTTTAAATGTTGACTTACGTTTGGTTGAACTGTCTTGTTGAAGGAGCCTCTGTAGGATAAGGACGTTTGTTTCATGCAGTGTGTCATATTTTCAGAGTACGCTACATAATGTTAGCACATAGCAGAAAACAGAAACAGCTAAACAGCCCTACTTCCGGATGCTCCTACAAAATAAACGTGTCACTTTTCACTTTTTCCAGTAGTAACGTTAGTAGTAATGAAAATAATAATAATAATAATAATAATAATAACAAAATAAATACATCATGTAATATTCCGTGTTATTTATCCTGGCAACTCTGAAACATACAAGTATACACAAGTACATTTAACCTGTAATTCGCCATAATATTGGATTTGTTACTATTAAACTAAACTTCCATGTTTTCCTAATTTTAAGTTTTGTGTCATCAAATAGGCCGACTGTTATATTTCTTGTCTTATATATAAGGCAGTCTTTAATAAACATGCAGTATAATACACTATTAACTGTTTAAGAATGTTAAATACATAATTATTATTATTATAATAACCCTTATATGCAGATTCTGATTCTGTATCACTTTTATGATGATCAGGAAAATTCACAGGTAGAATTCCAGACCTATATTTTGTTGCTGTGCTTTCATTTGGAAAGACACTTTTCCCCATGTTGTCTGTCATGTGTGCTAACTTGACACGTCTATATTTTAAGTGAAGCTGTATCAGCATGTCAGTTTTAGCTCTTGAAAAGAGGGCATGTTGCATAACAAACCTCAAGTCAGAATCACTAATTTACACATTATAATATATAGTGAAAATAAACAGAAATAAACTTACATGTGAGGAGCCTTCTGTTGGTGCTGAGACTTGAATGACCCGTGAACTTTAATCCCCCTCTAAAGTCCACAGTTTATTACCAAGGCTTGGACGTATGTGTGTGTGTGTGTGTCAGAAAGAGAGAGGGCAGCTGCAGTGTTTGTTATATTACAGTATGTGTTTTCTATCCAATTAGATTTATTGGACTAATGTCAACATCCATCTGTTCCACCCAGTTGCTCTACAATAACTACATCCAGCTTCCATCTTTTATACTCTCTTCTTCCTTATTCCTTACGCATTTTACACTTCATTCAGAAACTTAAGTGAGTCACAGTGTTGATCCTCTGCAGGGATTATATTTTCTTTATTATTATTGTACATTAGCTGTGTAGTTACAGGTTGCATATACACAAAGTAATGGTTCGCACTCCTCTGACTGATGTGCCATTCTCACACCAAACATTACTCCACTTATTGCTTCATATTTTACACAGCATGAGTCAAAACCCTTCTGTACACTGGGTGGCAGCAGTGAGTGGCACCAGCACTGACAGTTAAGGAAACAAGAGCAATGTCTCTAAGAATAGTAATAATAATCATAATAACAATAACAATAATAATAGAAAAACAATATCCAATGTTTTGTTTTAAATAAAACAACAAACCAGAAGAATAATACATTTCATACAACTACTGAAATATGTAAATATGAAGAAAAAAAATCAGAGATGACACTTAAAGAAAGTCAAGTTGTTTTCACACTTTAGATTCTTCATTCACTCTCAGCTAATTTAGCCCCATTTTAACACTTAAGCAGCTAGCCCGGGGATTACGTATACAATTTTATTCTCAACCTTCTAAACTTTAAGACGTGGCAGGGTGAGACAACACAGAGTAGCCACAGGAGCTCCTATGTGATATTTTTAAGTGGACTGACAAATATGAAATAAAAAATTAGAGCCTGGTGCTAGTATTGCCCCAGTATTAGAACCATTATGTGCCAGGCCCTAGTCTGGACTAGATATTGTGTGTGAATGGATAAAGGCAGAGGTTTTCATTAGACCTCCTCCTACTCCTACTCCTCCTCCTCCTCCACCGCTGCCCCCGTTGCCTCCTGCGAAACCTCCACCTCGACCCCCTCCGAATCCACCGCGACCCATCGGCCCTACACAGAACCAAGAACCAAAGCAGTCAGATGTTGTGTCAGTGGTGATATCTTGGTACCGGCTGTAAATAACCTTCATGTGTGAGTAAAGGACAGACTTCATAACAGACAGGAGGG